CCGCCTTCCACAGCCCTAGGTCTGAATCTCCCTCTCTCTTTCTCTCTCTCTCTTTCTGTCTCGCTGACTTGCTGTGTGACCTTAAGCCTGTCGCTATGCGTCTCTGAGCCTCATTCATCTAACACATGTTTACTGACGGCCACGTGTGCCAGGCGCTGTCCTAGGCGCCGACCAGCACCCCCGCCTTCACGGAGCTGCCTCTGGGGACCGATGAGCTAACGGGGAGGGGGCCAGAGCCCATCCCTGCCCCCCTCCCCTATATGCTGTCCCCCGACCTCGGGCCTCCTTGGTCGGGAGCAGCAATGTGGCCGTCGGGCTCAGATCCCAGGAAGCCCTGGCTGCCCCCGACCACGGACCTTCTAGACCCACCTGGGCTGGGACCGCCCCCGCCACCCCCACCATGGCTCCTGGGACTCAGCCAACAGCCCCAGCGGGGACCGTGTCCCCAGGGACAAACCGTGTCCCAAGCTTTGCCTGGTCCACAGCCGTGGGGGGCGGGGTGGGGACCTGCCACGCCCTGGGAGCTGATGTCACAAAGGGCCCCTGCTCTAGCCCTGGCCTGGCCCCAGAGAGACACTGTCCCTCCCCTCTCCCCCCCCCGACCCCTCTCAGTAGCGTCCCCAGCTGTCCCCAGGTACTATGAAAGGGTGACCTCTCGGGGACACTCTCGCCCCGGCGCCAGCAGATCCCAGCAGGGGGAGGTCCCCGCCGCCCAAGTGGAGGGGGGGCGGTCCGTGACAGCCTCCCCCGCCGCCACCGTCCGGTCCCCTTGGCGTCCCTAACTCGTCCCCGTCCCCCCCCCCCCGAGCATGGCCAGCTACTACGAGGTGCTGGGCGTCCAGGCCAACGCGTCGCCGGCGGCCATCAGGAAGGCGTACCGCAGGCTGGCCCTGCGCTGGCATCCGGACAAGAACCCCGACGGCGCGGACGAGGCCGAGAAGAGGTTCAAGCAGGTGTCCGAGGCCTACGAGGTCCTCTCGGACCCCAAGAGGCGCTCCGTGTACGACCGCGCCGGCCGCGACAGCTGGCGGGCCGGGGGTGGCGGCGCCGGGACCCCGTCCGCCGGCCCCTTCGACGCCGGCTACACCTTCCGGAACCCCGAGGACATCTTCCGTGAGTTCTTCGGCAGCCTGGACCCCTTCTCTTTCCACCCCTGGGACGACCCGTTCCACAGCGACCGCGCCGGCACCGGCGGTGGCCGGGGACACGGGCCCAGGGGCACCTTCGCCGCTGGCTTCGGGGAGTTCCCGGCCTTGATGGAGGTTTTCTCGGCCCTCGACGGGGGCAGCCGGGCGGCCGCCTTCTCGTCCGCGTCCTTCGGGGGCCCCGGCTTCAGGTCCGTGATGTCGGCCACCGAGGTGGTCAACGGCCACCGGGTCACCACCAAGCGCGTCGTGGCCAACGGGCAGGAGCGCGTGGAGGTCGAGGAGGACGGGCGGCTCACGTCGGTGACCGTCAACGGCAAGGAGCAGCTCAAGAGGGTGGACACCAAGTAGGCGCCGATCCTGCCACCCCCGGGCCACCAGGGCCACCAGGGCCACCAGGGCCCTCCTGTGGCTGCCACCACCGCCGCCGCCGGTGCTTAATAAATGTGCCAAGTGACTTCATGGAAACAGCGTCCCGGCTTTGTGCGGCAGGGCAGGCGTCTTTGGGGACAGCTCCGGCTCGAGGGGACACACGGGGAAGCCCGGGTGCTGTCCCTAACGTGGGGGCCCGGGGCGCTCCGTCTGGTAAACAGCATGGCTGCCCCCTCTCGGTCGGGCTCTGCCCCAGACGCAACCCCCTGTCCCTCCGTCTGCCCTCCAGGGCCAGCCCCCTGCCGCCCGTCCCCAGGTCTTCCTGCTCCAGCTGTCGGCCTCCCCCGCCCCCCTCCAACTGCACCACCGATGCCTCATGGCGGCCGTGCCAACCCCAAGGGACCCACACGCGCCACCTGCGCGGCTTTGAACCCTCTCTGATCTCCCCCTCTGCTCTTCCACTGCGCCGAACGCCCTGCGGCCCCAGGACCTTTGCACATGCCGTTCTCCC